AACGACTGAGCCTTAAAAAAAATAAAACTAAAGTAATTAATTTGCTTAAGAACTTTGATGGTACATATTTCTACAAGGGATTCATGGGGCGTACACATTTTGCAAAGAATAATCTACTGTGTTTGGCTGATAGAGTGAACGATTTTGTTCCTGGTTACTACGGATTTTTAGGTTATAGAATACTTTTCGATTTTATTAGTGAGATTATTACAGAAAATACTTTGATATTATTAGAAATTGATAGGGATAATTTTATTAGTGAGGTCATCATTCCAGAAATGGGTATACAACTAATTATGGAAGATTTAAATGTCGATTATGAATTAGGTATTGAGATTCGTGAATTTAGTTCTGAATATGGTTCGGTACATTTTATCGGTAATGAAAATCTTTCGTACAGTTCTGTGGGAATGGATGCATTTATGGATAAGGTAACTAAGAAGCTTATGGATGATCCAAGTAAAGATACGGAGTAACATGTGCTATATAAACATATGTGATAATTTCTGTATTTTCATGTGATCGATATTAGTAATCGATATTTTATAGATGAAACAAGTGCATTAGAGATCTTCGAATAAATTACCAGGAATAGAAACCATATTCGTTTGATTTCTTTGTCTTTATCTTTGCATTTTGAAAATTCCTACCTTATTTATTTAATGTATATTTTAAATAATTTTTGATTTGTAAGCGGTGAATAAAGCGTATTACATGATGTGTTATTTAAATATTAAAAATTATTTTTGTAATTTATTCGCTCATCATTGATCGACATGATTTTGGATTTACATAGTGCATAAAGTATCCGTTAAAATAACAGCAGAATACTATTATTTAATTTTAAGTTATACCAACAATATAAGTATTTAAATGATTGTCGTAATTACCTATTCTAATAACTATGTCGTCCAACGATATTTCGTTCGTTAAAAGTGAGAAAGCTAAAGGTAAAAAAAGATTGAATACAGTTACAGATAAACCAGAAATTAATGATATTTTTGAGAAAGTAAATAAGAGGATTAAAACACAAGAGATTGAAAATAATAAAATTTTTTCTAAACTTTCTGATAATGAAAAAGAAGTGTTAAGGAAAGAATAGGTTGATAGTATCGTATCTGCGATAGAAACCTCTTGTTATGAACTCAGATACCTTATCGATGATACCAAGATTGTGGTAAATGCCAGAAGTGAACTAGAAAAAATGTCTTTTCTCCAGATTCGAGCTTTACACGTTGCCTTGATACTTCGTAAAAATATTTTCCTAACAGGTGATGCGGGAACAGGAAAGACACGAGTTCTTAAGTTTATAATAGCCTATTATAGTATTATCCATCAAGTGAATATTGAGATTACTGCATCTACCGGTAAGGCAGCGCTTGAATTAAAATCGTCTGGTAAAACCGGCTGAACGATTCATTCAGTATTTAAGTTTGGTAAAAATATATCACCTAACAAGGTAAAATGGAAACTAAAAGATAAAGGTTACTGTGATTGGCTAAGAAAAGTGCGAGCAATAATCATAGATGAATGTTTGATAGTTAATGATGACCTTCTCGATTCTATCATCCACCTATTTACAAGAAGTGGAATAACCGAACTAGGTAAAGTGCATTTCATAATCACCGGTGACTTTTTCCAACTTCCACCAGCATCGGGTGGTATGTGTTTCTTGAACAAGGAATGGTACAATGATAAGTACTTCGGACTACTTCGTGATTCGTAGAAATCACTTGATCTTGTTTATGTAGGATTAACAGAAATCTTTAGACAGAACGATCCTGAATTTAAACATCATTGCACCAACTTGCGATATGGATTTTTAAACGAGGATACGTTTCAGTATCTAAAAAATATAATTATTTAGAGGATGATGCGATACGGTTATTTTCACAGAAATGATTTCGTAATGAGTACAACAACGATCGTATAAATCGATTACCAGGAAAAGATATGATCATCACCGGGCTCGATACATCAGATTACATAAAAGAGATTCGTAATATCGATCCTAGTTTACGAATGATAAAACAAATAACAAGTAGTGAAGATTCAAGAGTAGGAGAACTTCTGAAGAGACACAGGACTCTTGAGCTTTTGTTCATGAATCATACACAATCTGAATATGTATTACGATTACGATTGAACTGCTGTATTATGGTCATTCAAAATTACTCAGAATCAGTTGTCAATGGATCATCAGGAGTGTTCATTGGGTGGTCGACCAAGATCCAATCACAGAAGGA